AAGTTTTACCATTCTTACCTTCCTTTACAGTTTTGTTGGTCAGCAGTCCTGTATGTTGACTGTTAATTAAATTAAAATAACCTATGTTAATATTATATGAATATAAAAAACAAATTGAATGATTCTAATTGAAATAAAGGCTTTGACCAAGGCTTCTTTGTTTGTGAATTTTAAATTGTAGGATGATATAATGATTTGTAAAAGTATAAAAAATGACTTTTTTTAAAAATAGAACAATCTCACTTCACAAATAATCATATTCAATTAAAATGAAATAATATAAAAATATTGATTTAAATTTAAAAAAAAAATAAAATTTCGAAGAAAGCATACCCAGGACAATTATGTTGAAGCATAGTTATTTTTTACTTATTTACGTGAAAGTAATCAATCGGTCATCATTCATTTAGTCAGTTTGGTTTAATTAAAACTATTTTTTTTGGTTTTCAAATATATGTTTTATAATTCAATAAATAATTTAAACAATAACATTTTCTTAATGATGGTAGGCTTTGTATACTGGGGCAGCGGCAACGATGGTCTTGGCTACTACGGCTTTCTGTACAATAGGTTCTCCTTTGTATTCAACTTCAGCGTTGAAACCGTTGTAGGAGTCTGCAGAGTAATGGACGGTACGGGTGACACCATCAGGTTGAACCAAGGTGTAGTATCCCTTGACAACATCTCCGTTACGTTCTTCATGTTGGTTCTTGACATCACCGGTTACAGCGTCTTGGACTCCGTATTGGTAAGAGTATTGTGGGTGAGTATCTGGGTATACTTCTTGTTGGACGGCCTTTACAACTGGGGTGGCGTAGTGAGCTACTGGGGCGACAGTCTTGATGAGAGCAGGAGCGTGATGGTAAGCAGCAACTGGAGCGGCATAGTGGGAAATTGGGGAAACGGTCTTAACGACAGCTGGGGCGGCATAGTGAGAAGCCACTGGGGCGGCGTAGTGAGTCACTGGGGTAACGGTCTTGACAATAGCTGGGGCGTGGTAGTAAGCGGAAACTGGGGCGGCGTAGTGAGCAGCTACTGGGGCAGAAGCATAGTGAGCTACTGGAGCACCGCTGAGGGAGGAGTANNATTTATAATTAAAATTATAAATCAATAACAATATTAATTGATCAAGTACCTTAGCGAACATGTTGTATGTTAGTGATACAATTTGATACTGTTTGTTAAAAATGCTGTCCCTTTTATATGAAGCCGTTCAACTCAGAAATCGAGCTATACGTTACACAACAACACGCCCGTTCGAATTTTATTGTTTGAACTTGAAATAATGTAATTAGTTACATAATCAAATAGCTCAAGGTATTATAAATATACTATATACTGGCAGATCTTTATTAGAATTTCTATTGATTTAGAATATAAAAAAGCCAGATTGAAACTATTATTAGATTAGATAAATTATGTTACCATTAGTGTAATTTTTTATTTTTATAGAAAAATCAAATATATTTTATAGTAAATTTTTAATTTGAATTATTTTTTCTATGCTGGTTCTAAATATATTTGTTTATATTATTACTTATTATTAATAATTTATTTATCCAATTTATATTTTAACGAGTTAGTTATCTAACCAATAATATTAAAATATTCTAAATAACAATTTGAATAAAAATATTTGTTACAAAAAATATAATTTCTGTAGGTTTTCAATTTACTAGTTCCAAAAAACTTCTTACAATTAAAAATAATAGATCTTAATAATCACATATAATAATAAATGTAAGGAGAATGTTTTTGGTCAAAAGGTCCTATGAATTTTGTTTTAATTATTATTAAAATCATCGATTTGAGAAAATTCGTTTTGAAACTTATGAGTTTTATATTAATTAAATACATGTTTTTTATATCGTATAGTATTTAATTAAATTGTTTCTTGTAAATTGTGAGTAAATCTTAGGGCAGTTGATCTTTTTTTTATTTTTGGTAATCTTTTCTCAATAGAAGTTTTACCATTCTTACATTCCTTTACAGTTTAGTTGGTCAGCAGTCCTAAATGTTGACTGTTAATTAAATTAAAGTAACCTATGTTAATATTATTTGAATATACAAAACAAATTGAATGATTCTAATAGAAATAAAGGCTTTGACCAAGGCTTCTTTCTTTGTGAATTTTTAATTGTAGGATGATATAATGATTTGTAAAAGTATAAAAAGTCATTAAAAAATAGAACTATAACACTTCACAAATAATGATATTCAAAAGAACATTTTATTCTTTTTTACACTTTAAATATAACTACCTAAATAATATAAAAATATTGATTTAAATTTATTGAAGAACAGTTATTCATTAATTTTTTACGTGATCAATCGGTCATCATTGATTTAGTCAGGTTGGTTTAATTAAAACTGTATTTTTTAGTTTTCAAATATATGTTTTATAATTCAATAAATAATTTCAACAATCACATTTTCTTAATAGTGGTAGGCTTTGTATACTGGGGCAGCGGCAACGATGGTCTTGGCTACTACGGCTTTTTGTACGATTGGTTCTCCTTTGTATTCTACTTCAGCATTGAATCCATTGTGAGAGTCAGCGGTATAGTGGACGGTACGGATGACACCATCAGGTTGGACCAAGGTGTAGTAACCCTTCACAACATCTCCGTCGCGTTCTTCATGTTGGTTCTTGACATCACCGGTGTGAGCGTCTTGGACTCCGTATTGGTAAGAGTATTCTGGGTGGGTGTCTGGGTATACTTCTTGGTGAATAGCCTTGACGACTGGGGCGGCGTAGTGAGCTACTGGGGCGACAGTCTTGATATATTTTGGTTCTCAATATAAATTATTTTAACCGTCCATTTTTCATTAATTATTTTAATTAATACGTTTACTCTATTTAAATATAACGCATAAATTGTTTGTTTTGTATACAAATATTTGATATACATTTTAGTTGTAAGATTCTCTACATTAAAATAATATATTGCATTAATAATATTTGCAGAAATAATTGAATAAAATATAAATAGTCAAAGAAATTAAAATAAATAAAGACAATTTGAATTATTTGTAACTATTCTAAACGGCTATTGATAATTTATCTTTTCATCGTGACACACTAAAATATTATTTTTTTCACAATAAAATGTATTGCTTTCATAAAACGCACTTATGGAATATCTTAAGATAAAACATATATGACGTTTTTATAAAGGATGAGGTTGAAAAAGTCACAGGTTCATCTTTATGTCAATAAATATAAGAATTCATTTTATAATTTTTAATAACGTAAGTTCATTTTTCACACGCAATAGAGCACAAATATTACACAATAATAAATGTTGTCTAACGTATATAATATATCTAAGTTCATTTAGGCTAATTTCCATAGCCTTTATGCTTCAAAATAAATAAAAATAATATAATTGGAATACAAATTATTGCATATCAGAGACTGTAACTAATATATTTGATTGATTATATACACAGTTCAATTCAGGACACGGAGCAGTACAGATGTATTTGATAGCAGCTTGTGATAAGAAATATTTTTGTTTTTTGGCCTCGTTTGGGATCCAGTATGTGCTACGTAATCGCAGTTCATACTTGAAGTCAGACAACCCTAACTCTGTGGTCTTTGCGTATCTGACCGATATGCGGGATCGTGCCCTCGACGAAGGACGAAGGATCCAAAAAAAAACACGGCCACAACGTGTCGCTGTCTTGTGTCATCACAAGGATGAACCTGGACATTAGCGACGCTGAAATCAGCGAGAATCTCAAGACGTCTGGGGTGGAACACAGGTTCTGCAAGAGGATTGTATCCAGGGCGACGGGACAACCTACAAGATGCGCTCTACGCCTTTCCGGCAGTAGAGAGCATTCCACCGCCTTCTATAGCTGTGCCTTGTACCACATCTGCTTTTTGGGACATCATGTTTATGTTTTAATGTTCGATGTGGATGACCGAGAGCGGGAGTCTCCTACGGATGTGAATCAGGGGACGGCCGTGTCTTTTATCATGAAGGGTGGATAGTCGGTGCCAGGACGAATTTATCATTCTTCAGCTGAATGATGCTTCAGAATTAATTATTTGATACATTTCAAGAAGACTTTTATTGGGTTTATTTATAATTTCATATATTTTATTTTATTTATATATGTACGTTTCACATGTTTGAGAACGACATTCTTATTTTTTGTATGATTTTTTTTGTGACAATTTATATTTTATTGTGTCTCTGGGTGGACAAACTTAGGTTGATAGCCCTTTGGTTACAATTGTAATTTATAAAGATTATTATTATTATTTCACTTATTTGTGACGTGCCAGTTGCTCTTCTTTACCGGGACCCTATAAAAATAATAATACTATATATCTTATACAAATATTAAAAAATGATATATCTAACATCGCTTTAAATTTGAAGTATATAAAGCAAATAATTAAAAATATACTTTCATTAATTATATATATTTCAGATACTCTTTTCTAGAATTAGCTGATAATAAATTATTATGGTATATTTGTATATAAAAAATAGTATCATCTTTCTGTATGTATAAAATGAACCTTATTAAAACAACTTTTTTTCAAATTTATATCTTATAATTTAATAAATAATATCAACAATGTAATTCTTTAATGATGGTAGGCTTTGTATACTGGAGCAGCAGCAACGATGGTCTTGGCTACAACAGCTTTTTGGACAATTGGTTCTCCTTTGTATTCTACTTCAGCGTTGAATCCGTTGTGGGAGTCAGCAGAGTAGTGAACGGTACGGGTGACACCATCAGGTTGGACTAAAGTGTAGTATCCCTTTACAATATCTCCGTCACGTTCTTCATGTTGGTTCTTGACATCACCGGTATGAGCGTCTTGGACTCCGTATTGGTAAGAATATTGTGGATGGGTGTCTGGGTACACTTCTTGGTGAACGGCCTTGACGACTGGGGCGGCGTAGTGAGCAACTGGGGCGACAGTCTTGACAACAGCTGGGACGTGGTGGTAAGCAGCAACTGGGGCGGCGTAGTGAGTAGCGACTGGGGCGGCGTAGTGAGCAGCAACTGGGGTGGCGTAGTGAGCTACAGGGGCGACGGTCTTAACTACGGCTGGGGCATGGTGGTAAGCGGCAACTGGGGCGGCGTAGTGAGCAGCAACTGGGGCAGAAGCGTAGTGAGTTACTGGAGCATCGCTGAGGGAGGAGTAGGAAGTGGCATGGTGTCCATGTCCAAGTTCGAAAACTCCAGCTTGAGCGCAAGCTATCAAAGCAGAAACAGCCAAAATCTAAAAGAAATTTATAATTAATTTGTATACCAATAATAATATTATACATTGATCAAGTACCTTAGCGAACATGTTGTATGCTTGTGATACAATTCGATACTGTTTAGTAAAATACTCTCTCTTTTATATAAATCCATTCCACTCTAAATTTTAGGAATGTATTACGCAACATCACGCAAATTACGAATATAGTCTGAACTTGAAACAGTTTCTGTTAAGATAGGCGTTACATATTCCATAATGCTATAATTTTGTATATATTACATTGACCGTGAAACATGTTTATACTGTATATTTCTTATAATATTGACAACTACGGTATAAAATCAGTCCAAAGCAATATAAAAATGTATGAATTATTGAAATTTTTTTAAATATTCATTGACATTATTTATTTCCTTATGCATCTATTCAATTATTTATTTACTTTAATATCTTATCTTTCAAAATGTCTCTTGATCTATGCAATCGGTTGCATTTTAATATAAATATATTTTATTGTTCAGAATATAACAAAAATAAAAAATGTTTTAAAAACTGTTATACCTGAAAAAAATAAACTAGATATATAAATAAGCAATCAAATGATTGACAATAAAATGACAGTTTCTTAAATTAAAAATATACTTTTGTCAAAAGAGCCATTTTTTTAGTAATTGTTGAACGATTATGTGAAAATAATATGTTTAAGATTAATACATGATGCAGGTAAAGAAGTATAACTTGATCTCGATTTTTAATGATTTTGCTTTTCATTTATATTGTTATTTTTATTCTGTGGCTTTTTATTCGGATATATGGGAGTGTTAATATATTTCTCATTCACATATGGTGAAGTGAGTTTATATTTTTTTTATATTACTTGTATCAATTCAGTGGAAATCTTTTTATAGTAATATTTGTTTCTATAAAAAAGATCACAAAGAAAAACGAAGGTGGTTAATATATTCAAAAAATACACATAATACACAAGTTTTGAAAATGATGTAGCAGGCGGACTTCTCTTGTCCTCGTCAGTCTGAATGCGAAACGTTGCTAGTTAAGCGAGCTGCTCGTTAAGAGAGGTTCCACTGTATATACATAAATATGCATGTATAAACAAAAATGACTAAAAATTTGACAAAAGTACGTAAAATACTATAGCGTTTAGTTTTTCAAACGAACGATTGTTACTACTTCAGTTGATTTTTTCTTTTATATGTACTTGTATTTTAAACTTTATTTTTTTATAATTTAATAATAATAATTTTATTATTATACATATATACAGGTCAATTTTCGATTTTCTTAATGGTGGTAGGCATTGTAAACTGGAGCAGCTACGATGGTCTTGGTAGGGATGATGGCTTTGGCAACGACGGCCTTTTGGACGATTGGTTCTCCCTTGTATTCGACTTCAGCGTTGAAACCGTTTTGGGCATCAGCAGAGTAGTGGACGGTTCGGGTAACACCATCAGGTTGCACCAAGGTGTAATATCCCTTGACAACATCACCATCACGTTCTTCGTGTTGGTTCTTGACATCACCGGTTATAGCATCTTGAACTCCGTATTGGTAAGAATATTGTGGGTGAGTGTCTGGGTAAACTTCTTGGTGTTTATAAGTTATTATATAAGTTTAATGTAACTTTTAATATATATATTTAATGCAAAATATAAAAAATACACATTTTTACATATTTTATTTACAAATTGATTTAGAGATTGCATTATTGCATTTTCGTCTTTTAACTTACTGTTTAGCATATAATGACTATTCTTAAATTAATAATAATCCTAGGCACATTGTAATAGTTTTTTAATAGTATTTTATGAATATGTGTTAAGTGTTGTATTAGCTGTATTTTATTGTATCTATTCTCCTGTATACGCAAGAGGGCTTTGTTAATACTATTTTGCATTACTGGCGTAATACCACTTGAAGTTACTGGACCAACACTGCTAGGGTACCAAAAATATTATAATCATAATGGAGCAAAAAGGCCTATGGTCAATAGCCCTTTGCAGCATTTTAATTTAATTTTTGTTATTATATTATTGTAATCAGTTTATA